GATCCTCAAGAAATTCTGAGAATTATTTAAGTAGTTTAAGTTAGTTTAGTTAAAGAATATTAGTTATCCTTCAGACCCTTGTCCACATATTGGTGTGACAATATACTTAAAAAATACTTAATTTAGATAATAAGTAAGTATGTTTTAAATATATACTCAAAATATACTTACTCATTATCTAAATTAAGTATTTATTAAGTATATTTTAAATATATTTTAATTATAAAACAATAATATTTTAAATAGTTTTTATATACTTAAAAAATATTTAATAAAATATATTTTAAGTATATTTTAAATATCATAGTTTTTATAGGGTAACACTTGATTTTTGTTTTTAAAAATTCTAGCTTCTAAATAATAAATTTTAAAATAATAGTTACTATACATGTTTTAATTTTTGAGTTTTAAAAATTTTTTTGAGATGTTTTGATATCAAATTTATAATCTTGATTTTATATAAATAGATAATTTATATGGAAATTATTATTTAATAAAATCTTAATTGTGAATAAAATTTTATACAAAATAATTACAGCCAAGGTGATTATATAGTTAATTATTCTTTCTAAAAAAAAATAAACATGTCAAATTTCATAACAATTGAATTAGTGATTACCAAGAAATTAACTCTTAAAAATTAAAATTTTAAGTATAAAAAATTTTATTTAATCTAAAATTTCAATTTTTAAAGTTAATTTCTTAATAATCACTAATTCAATTGTTATGCTTATTCTCTTTAGAAAGGACAATTAACTGTATAATCATCTTGGTTATAACTATTTTGTATAAAATTTTATTCACAATTGAAATTTTATTAAGTAACAATTTTCAATATAAATCTTTCATTTATGCAAAATCAGGATTATAAATTTGATACCAAAAACATCTTCAAAACTTAAAGATTAAAAATATGTATAGTAACTACAGTTCTAAAATCTATTGTTCAGGTTATACTTGCACCTAAAATTAAATTTCATATAATTTTAGGAAATGAAATAGCATCATAGAAGTCAAAATTATTTTACTTACACCCAGATAAATTCTTTGATTAGAAGTACATTAGGCTGGATACTTTTTTTACCTTCATATATAGAATAGATATTACAAAAATTTCAATAGTCAAAATACACATTTTATTTTGAAACATGTATAGTTTAGATGTTGCAGTATTTTTGGTCACATTTCAATACACACATGTTAAATAATCAAAAATTAGTAAAATTTTTGGTGCAAATTAACTTATATCATCCACAAATCTTCCTGCCTATTTACATATCATCCACAAATCTCCCTGCCTATTTGCACAAAAAATTTTGCCTATTTCCTTCATTTTATGAAGTTTTTTTATTTATTTTTAAATTTAACTATTATTTCATCATTTTGGTTGTACCTTGTCAACGATATTCTCCTCGATGACGACTTGAATATAAATATAAAGAATAAAATGTAAATTTGACACATTCATTTTTAATGAAATAAATTAAATAAATAGAATAAATTAATAAATGAATGGACTCACCATGAGTGTTTTGTTTAGAATTGGTATCGTCACTAATACTGTATTTCTTTTCGCTTATAATGGCAGTGATGATAAAACAGCGGAAGAAAAATATTTCTTTTTTCAAGGTCTTGATATCATCAGATATTATAGACTTTGATTTTGTATATTCTAGTGACATTCTTAAAAAAAAAATAGATACATTGAATAACTGAAACATATGAGTATTATGTACACACAACAAACATTAAAAGATACATTGCAAGTCAACAGTACACTGGAAAACAGATACAGGAGGGCCAGGGACACACATGTCCACATGCCCAAAGGACACACCTGAAAAAATTAATCCGAGCAGGACGTTAATGACCGTATGCTAGTAAGGATGTGCGTGACTGGTGCGCTATATAGAAAATCAGAAAATCAGAAAATCACATGTTAGAATCGTGACCTGGAACGTTAATTCAAAATGATAAATTTCACTATAAATCACTGCGTTCATCGAAATATCGTAAAGTTTAACATTAATCAAAATGGAGTCTTCACAAGTTCCTAATCTTTATAAACAGCAACGAGGTCCTCCAAAGGTAAACTGAATACTCACCGATGGCGTTTAAATTTATTTTTATTTTTGATATTTTTTACCATCTTAAACCAAAAAAAAAAACCCCCATTTCAGATCAAAAATAAAAATCCTGCGCCAATTCAAATAACAGCTGAACAAATTCTCCGAGAAGCAAAGGAGCGTCAAGAAACTGCCAAGAAAGCACCCCGTCAGAAGATTTCTGACTTGGAAGAATTGTCAGAATATCGTCTACGTAAACGAAAAGAATTCGAAGATTCTATAAGAAGGAATCGATTAAACATTGGAAGCTGGCTAAAGTATGCAGCATGGGAAGAAAGTCAGAAGGAACTAAATAGGTATATCTATCTTATTGAATTATTTTATTGACAATTTATTTGAAATTTATTAAATTCATTTGTATAATTTTATTCAAGCCGGCTAAATATTTGTTCTTTATAGAGCGCGTTCTGTATATGAAAGGGCATTAGATGTGGATTCGCGAAATGTGACACTTCATATTAAATATACTGAAATGGAAATGAAAAATCGTAATGTTAATCATGCGAGAAATTTATTCGATCGTGCAGTAACTTTATTACCGAGAGTCGATACATTTTGGTACAAATATACATATATGGAAGAATTATTGGGCAATGTGGCAGGTGCTCGACAAATATTTGAGCGTTGGATGCAATGGGAGCCTGATGAATCAGCGTGGAACGCATACATAAAGATGGAGAAGAGATATAATGAAATTGACAGGGCTAGAGCAATTTACGAGAGATTTGTTAATGTTCACCCTGAGCCAAGAAATTGGTTAAAATGGATAAAATTTGAAGAAGGACAACATAATTTAGGTAAGGAATTCAATATATCAAATTATCAATCTAAATTATCGTTTCAGCTTCAGCTTTACTTCTCACTTATAATTATTAAAATTATTATTTAGAAAAATGTAGAGAAATATACAGTCAAGCAATTGAAGTTTTAGGTGAAGATCATATTGAACAAAAAATATTGATTTCATTTGCAAAATTTGAAACTAAATTAAAAGAGGTATATTTTAATAATTGGGAGTGTTGATTTTTTTTTGCTTTTATTTTAAATAAGATCATTACAATAAAATTATTTTGTATCTTTATAGTTTGAAAGAGCTCGTGTCGTCTACAAATATGCTTTAGAAAAGTTGCCTCGTGCTAAATCAGAAGCACTATATAACGCATATACCCAATTTGAAAAACAATATGGTGACAAAGAAGGTATTGAAGATGTTGTCGTTGGTAAACGGAGAGCACAATATGACGAGGTGATTTAAAAAAAAATATTTAATTTTTATTCTAAATTTAGAACTTATTCTAAATTTAAAGTTTATAAAATTTTATTCGAATTATTTAGGAATTAAAATTAAATCCAAAAAACTATGATATATGGTTTGATTATGCACGATTAGAGGAAAATGCAGGTGATGTGTTGAAAGTTCGAGAAATTTATGAACGCGCGATTGCACAGGTGCCACCTGCCCAGGAAAAAAGATTTTGGCGGAGATACATTTATTTATGGATTAATTATGCGTTATATGAAGAACTTGAGACAAAGGCACGTTCAATATTTGTTCGATATTTGTTTCAATATTTTTGGTTTCATTTTTTTTTTTTTTTTAAAAAAAAAAATATTTATTATTGTTACTTTATTAAAACAGGATTACGAACGGACAAGACAAATATATCAAGAGTGCCTTAAGATGATACCTCATAAAAAATTTACTTTTGCAAAAATATGGTTGATGTATGCACAATTTGAGATACGACAGTTAGATTTGAATGCTGCCAGAAAAGCGTTAGGAAATGCCATAGGTATTATATAGTTGTTTTTTTTTTGTTCTTTATTATATTATATATAAAATATGAGTCATTGGACTTTTTTTTTTTTTTTTGATGATATTTATAACTTTTTTAATAGGACTTTGTCCAAAAGATAAACTTTTTAAAGGATATGTAGAATTAGAGTTACAGGTAAGAATAAGAATAGATGTTTAATAAATTAAATTAAATGAAACTTGGTTTTTCAACTAATTTATTGTTTTGCAATTTAAAGCTACGAGAATTTGACCGTTGTCGAATTTTATATTCGAAATACCTGGAACATAATCCTGCTAATTGTTATGCATGGATAAAATTCGCGGAACTTGAAAGAATGTTGGGCGATTATGATCGTTGCCGAGCTATTTTTGAGCTCGGAGTAGAGCAACCAGTTTTAGATATGCCAGAATTATTATGGAAGGCTTACATCGACTTTGAGTTTACTGAAGAAGAATTCGAGAATACTCGACAGTTATATAAGCGATTATTAGAAAAAACTGGTCATGTTAAAGTATGGATTAGTTATGCACAATTTGAATTAAATGCTGATCAAGGTAATCATGAAGATGGAGTTTTACGCGCACATAATGTATTTGAAACAGCTTATCAGAGTATGAAAGAAAAAGAATTGAAGGAAGAGGTTTGTAATTTCTTCCTACTTATTATACTTTATTATCACTAATTATCGCTTATTACCACTTATTATCACTTATTATCACTTATTATCACTTATTATTATTCATCTTTATCTATTATCGTACTCAAATTTTTGAATTATTTAATTTATATAATTTAGCGTGTTCTTCTCCTTGAATCCTGGAAAGAATTTGAGAGCAATAATGGCACGAAAGAGACATTATCCGCTGTAGAAAGTAAAATGCCTAAAGTTGTTAAAAAACGAAGAAAATTGGATGAAGCAGAAGGACATACAGGCGTTGCGTGGGAAGAATACTTTGATTATATATTTCCAGATGATCAAACACAACAACCCAATTTCAGGTTGTTGGCTCTTGCACATGCTTGGAGACAGCAGCAACAACAACAACAACCAAAAGAATCTAAAAACCAAGAGTAATTTTTACATTTAAAAAAAAAATTAAATTTTGATTATCAATTTAGATTAAATATGCCGTTAGAATAAATAAAAAAAAATTGTTTATTTAAAATTAAACATTACACAAAGGAAATGTGAACCTCAAGTAACTATTATAAGTGTATAATTAATATAATTAATTTACCTGTATAATTACACAAATATTATCATTAGAATTTCATCAAATTCAAATAAATTGGCACATTTGTTCATAGTTAAATCTTTTTCTGGAAAACAAGATAACATGATAAATCTAAAATAATAAATTGCTCCTTTGACATTGTTCAATAAAATTATTTGAATTAGTAAAGCACCTTACATTTCTTAATTTGATATTTGTTTTTGTCACATGAAATAACAAAGACTAAACAAAACAAAGATTACAAAACAATTCAGGTGATGATAATTTCGAATGTTAAAGATCAAATATAAAAAGTATCAGTAGGTCGTTACATTTAAATTTCTTCCCTTTTTGTGATTGCTGTTCTTTGACAACTTGATAGTAGAGGCCTTTGAGGTTTCGCCCTCGCCTAAGTGGGCAAATAGACGTATAAAGCGTCGTCTTCACTCACTGTTCTTTCTGTAGATCTGTATAATAATAATTTAATTATCCTTACTAAAACAATTATATATAAAAATATGGAAGGTGGTATAATAGAACAAAGCGGTAAATTTCATATTAATTTTATTAAAAGTTTTTTTTGAAAATTTTGAAATTATTCTAATATATAATTGTTTTTTTTTTTTTTTTGATAAAAAAGATGAACCATTAAAAAATAAAGTTGAATCAACAAACAACTCGGAACAAAATAAAGAGAAGACCAGTATTTCAAATGAACTAGTAGAACGAAATAAAGAGATCGCTGAGCCTAAACAACAACAGCAACAACAACAGCAACAACAACAACAACCCAAACCGATTCATCACCCTGGTAATATTTTGCAAGCGACCATTAATAAAATGTTTAATTTTGAACCTGTAGATAAGGAGAAACCTACAAAACATCCAAAAGATTTGATTGTTTCGTCTGAACCTGAACGTTCAGATCAGTCCTCTCATGCTAAAAAAGTTCATGATATTCGTCGCCCTCAATCTGCTGATGCACGTATTTCACAAAATCCTACTACCAATTCAAATTTCCCTAAACCACGTTTCCAGAAAGTCTTCTCTTCCCACGTTCATAATTTATCACCCAATAAGAAAATTAGTCGTATGCATAATATTTGGAAAGGAGTTGGTATTCATAATCAATTTGAGAATAAACAAATAGAGGAACGAAATGAAAGACCACCAGTATTAAAACATTCTAAGTCTGAAGTTTCATTATCAGAAAAATATGGTAAACCACAGGAGATTATTGGAAGAGGTGCGAATTTATTTACTATTATTAGATTATTAGATTATTATGCAAAACCATGCGATCAATGTAATATCTCGCATTCAATTTTTAACAAAATTTTTTTATTAATTAGGCACATTTGGTGTTGTTCGCGTTTCACACAAGATTGAGCCCAAAGTACCAGGGGAAAGACTTTATGCCGTCAAGGTTATTATTAATTATTATTATTAATTATTATTATTATTATTCTTTTTATTTTAATTTATTTTAAATTTTACATGTGACTTAATTAAAAAAAAAAATAAAAAAAAAAAATAAAAAAATAGGAATTTAAAAAACGTCATAATGAACCTTCCAAGAAATATATAAAACGTTTAACGTCAGAATTCTGTATTTCCTCTTCACTTCATCATATTAATGTTATCGATACACTTGATTTACTTCAAGATACTCAAGGAAATTATTGTGAAATCATGGAATTTTGTGCAGGCGGTGATCTTTACTCTTTCATTGCTTCATCAGGTGGCTTGGAGAAAGGTGAAGCAGATTGTTTTTTCGGACAGTTGATAAATGGAGTTAAATACTTACATGATAATGGTGTAGCTCACCGGTATGTTAATTATTATTATTATTATTATTATTATTATTATTATTATTATTTATTTATTTATTTATTTATTTATTTATTTATTATTATTATTTATTATTATAATTATTTATTATTATCATTTATTATTATCATTTATTATTTATTATTATTATTATTATTATTATATATAATTGAATTTAATATCTTTAATCATAAATAATTATAATTACTTAAAAATCAAAGGGATCTTAAACCCGAAAATCTTCTTCTCACCTCAGCCGGATGTCTTAAAATTTCTGATTTTGGGAATGGGGAATGTTTCCGTATGGCATGGGAAACACAAGCTCATTTATCACATGGAATTTGCGGTAGTGAACCATACATTGCACCAGAAGAATTTACAGAAGATTGGTTTGACCCTCGACTTGTTGATGTATGGGCATGTGGTATCATTTATATGGGAATGATTATGGGAAGACACCTTTGGAAAATTGCCAAAGCAGAAGATTCTAATTTCAAGATCTATTTAGAAGCTAGGACTCACGGTGTATATTTAGAACCTTTTCAAAAGTTGTCGATTGTAAGTGAATCATTCATTCATTGTCAATTCTTAATATTTTTAAATTGTAGTTTATTCTAATTTTTATTTTATTGATTTATTATATAATTATATATAAAAAGGGGGTTCGCCGTGTGATGTCAATGGTTATAGAGCCTAATCCTAAACATCGTGCGACAATCGAACAGATCATTAATGATCCATGGTTTTCCATGATTGATATTTGTTTTAAATCATCTCCAAGTTCAAATTCTATAACCACAAATCTAGCTTGTGGAGTGAAATGTAATGAAAAACAGAAGACAATGAACAAACCTCCTATTGCCAATTTAGTGTAAAAAGTGTAAAAGAAACACAAATAACCTCAAAATGTAATAATAATAATAATAATAATAATTATTGAGAATTTTTATCATTACTTTTCATCTTATGCAAGAATTTAATATTTTATAGAATGAAATTACTAATTCTAATTTCATTATTAATATTATTAATATGAACGCGAAGATGATATAGCATTTATTTATAAAATAATTTTGATGTTTTAGTAATATAATTTGTTTTGTTTTTTTTTAATTTCATTAATTAATTATAAAATAAAAAATAAAATGAAATTTATATAATTTCATTCGTAATAATTGATTTATTATTTATAATCATTCAAGACGAAATAAAGTAATAAATAATAAAGTATATGTAAAGTATTACTATTATATTCACATAATTTGAATATTTGAAGAACGTTAATTAAAAAAAAAAAAATAATATATTTCTAATATTACTAATATTATTAATATTACTGAATGTAATATAATATTTTATATTATATATTTTGTTATTGTTATTATTTATTATTATTGTTATTTAAAAATAGTTTTTATTTCCTAGATTATTTGTTTTTATATATATAATATAATGTTTTCTTTTTTTTTTTTTTAATGCCAATATATATATATATATATATATATTAATCTAAATAATCTTTTATCGAGGTGGTGGAGGTTGTATTTCTGGCATCTAGAGAGAAATCAATTGTAATTATTGTAATTATTGTGAAAATATTTAATAATTATTTTTAAATTACCTGAATCATGGGTGGTGGTGCGAAAACTCTTGATGCTGCTATTGATACACCTTCAATTATTGCTAAAGCTAATGCACCAAAAGCAGCTGATCTCGCTGATGCACCAATTCCACCTATTCATGACAAATTTATTTTTTTAAAAAAAAAAATAAAATAATAATAATAATAATAATAAATTATTTAAAAAATATTTTAAAATAAAAAAAAAGTTTTATTAAAAATTTGGAATTCGAACCTCTAGCAGCCAAAACTCCTCCCGTAAAAAATCCACTAGCAATTAAATTCCATGGATCTTCTTTTTGTCTTATTCCTTTTAATGCACAATCAAATGTTGAAAATAATCCTCCCCATACTGCAAAATTCCCTCCTAAAACTGGTGCTCGTGCTTTTACTGCCGTGATTGCCCCAATTATACGTTCTCCCTATTTAATTCCATGATTAATTATTCTATGAGTTAATTCCATGATATAAATTTATATAAAATTCTTTATATGTTTAATTAAATGATCTTTTACCTTTGGTGAATTTTTTGCACCTTTTACAAAATGCCATATACTACTACCTATGGCTCCCATAGCAAACGCTCCTCCTGTATCACTTAAGATAACCCATGGACTAAAATAAGAAATTAATGACATTGATAATAAGAATTAAAAAAGAATCTTTTTTAATTTCAATACAAGAATAATAAGAATAGAAAGAATAAAAAGAATCGAACCGCGATTTACCAAGGATCTCGACTATAATCTCCATAACGTGACATTCTGATCTAAGAAGGATATGAGAAAAATTTTTATAAAAAAAAAGAAAAAAAAAAATGAACCCTTTGTTCTTTAATTATAATGACAAAAAAATTCGATTATTTTTTAAAAAGAATTATTTTAAGTATATCTTTTTTTTTATCTGAACATCATCATCTACATATCTAAGATTTGTTCATTTGTCACGTTTTAATAAAACTAAAGAGTTACACGGAATAAAAAATTTGAATTAATTTTAAATTCGAATTTAAAATGTCAAGTTATGAACAGGCCAAGTCTTTTTGTACAAATATTCTATCCACCGCTACTACTCAAAATAACTCCAATTTACCTTTTGTAACTCTTACTTATGCTCAAAGTCTTGATGGTAAGATATCAGGAAGTGGAGGACAACAGTTAACTTTGAGTTGTAAAGAATCCATGATTATGACTCATAGGTAATTTTTGTAAAAAATAATAATAATATCATAATAGATTTTTTGATAAATTAGAATAAATTATTATTATTTTTTTTTTTTAGTATAGATTGAGAACATTACATGATGGTATATTGGTTGGTATTGGAACATTATTGAAAGATGATCCACGGTTAACAGGTCAGATTATTATACTGTATATGTTTTTGATTATGTTTTATATATAAATATTATTGTTTTTATAGATAAATAAAGACTTATCTTCTTCTTTTCATTAATAGCAAGATTAATAGAATCAAAAGAAATTTCTTCTGTTAAGCAACCACAACCAATAATATTAGATTCCAAATTACGATTTCCTCTAACAGCAAGATTGTTAATACAATCTAAAACAGAAGAATTTAAAGCACCTTGGATTTTCACTAGTAGAGATCATGATACAAATAAAAGAAAGGTTCATTTCTTTTTTTTTTTTAATATGAATTATTTATTCACTATTTATTAAATATATTTATTAAATATATTTATTATATTTATTATTTCAGTTATTAGAAGAAGTAGGAGCAAAAATTATTCCAATTGATTCTGATATAGAAGGTAAATTAATTTTTATTATAATTATATCAATTAAATTAAATATTTATTGATTACTATTATCATTATTGAAAAAGGGCAACTTTCAATATATCAAATATTAAAGATATTACATTCGCCTCCATTCTCAATAACTCAATTAATGGTGGAAGGAGGAGCTAAATTAATACAATCTTTTTTAAAAAGTGAAATGGTAAATCTATTAATTATTACAATCTCTCCTATATTCATTGGTTCAAATGCCATTTCTGTTACTGGAGATGATAATAATGTAAGTTGGAAATATTTGTTATATATACATACCTATAATTATATATAATAATAATAATAATAATAATAATAATAATAATAATTCTAATAATTTAGATTTTATTATTAAAGGATAATTTTCCTTTATTAACTAATATCAAATATGAAAAGTTTGGAACAGATATTGTTATGGTTGCAAATATATTATCAACAAAAAAAATAAAATAAAAATAGTTGTAAAATTTTATTAATATAAAAATTCATAAAAATAAATGTTCTACTTGTGTAATTTATTTATTTTATACATTTTTATACAAAAAATTGAAATCAACTTACCTATTATATCCAAATTTTCGCTACCTTTGACGGCCATTTCAAATGTTATGTAAATGCATGTAATAAATACACTACCCCTGACCAGGGTTGTCAAGGGACACCTTAGGGACAAAAATTATTTTTAAAAAATGTAAATAACACAAAATTTTATTACTTTGAATTATTAATTAAAGTTATTTAGAATTAATTTTTATATTTATTTATAAAGTTTTTAATATCTATTTATAAGCCAATTAAGGACAGGGACAGTGGGACATGGGACATAGGGACAGTTAAAAAAGTTGGGGGCATGTAAAATGTACAATACTGCCCCTGACAAACCCTAACCCATGCGTTTGACATAATAGTAAAAATAATAATCTTATTACTAAAATTATTATTAAAATTTTTGTTCCCTTAATCTTTAATTAATAATGTACCCAATAAAAACAACAAAGAATATACTATATTCAAAGAAAAGAGAGGAACGGAAAAAAAAATAAATTAAAAAAAGAAATGGAGGAAGGTGAAAATACCGAAGTAGAAGAGGTTACTAGCACCGTATTCTATCCTAATTATCTTAATTCTACCCTCAAAATAGATGCTAATACTAAAAAAGAAAGAAAGGGAAGTAGGAGAGGTTACTAGTACTTCACTATCTCTGTATATTATTCCTAAAAATATATATATATATATATATATTAATTTAAAAAAGAAAAAAGAGAAGAGAAGCAGGAATGGCCAACGTTTTCTTAGCTCCTCACTTACATCGAAGTAGGAGAGGTTACTAGTATTTCACTACCTTTGTATATAATATATATAATTAATATAATTTTATATAATGCTTTATAAACGTTGAAAACCAATATTAACAGAAATTATTTTATAGGAAAGCAGAAGAAACTATAGAGAAAGAAAAAATAGGGAGACTATACAAGAAAGAAATATGAGAAGACTATATTAATAGGAAAGAGGAGAAACTATACTAATAGGAAAGAGAAGAAGACCATTCTAAGGAAGGACGATTCTAGTATTAAAAGGAGAGAAAACTTATTCTAATAAGAAAAGGAAAGGAAAATTATTTTTAATTATATTCGTTATTTCATTATTTTAATGTAGAAAAAAAATTAGATGTTTTTTGAATTTTACGTGTGTACTATATCAAAGTAAAGAAAGTTTCTGTTTTTTCGAGTTTGAAATTTCGTTATTTATTTCTTTTGCATAATAATAACGAAAGAAGGAAGGGGAAAAAATAATGTAATTTTTAACGCAGTAAATTATTCACAAAGATATTTTATTTAACGTATCCTTATTCTATACCGTAGGGTTATATATTCGTCACCTAATATTTTACACACGTGAAATAATTTCGATTACCTGACATCATGTGTCTATTGTTTAATCTTGTGTTTTATTTTTATTGGTAACATGTCGTTATTTAATATTACATTAATTGTATTTTTTAATATTACATTAATTGTGTATTTAATAATTCTTTGATATATATAGATTTTATGAATTATATTGGTCAAAGTTATTTTAGGAAATAGAATAAATGATGGCAATCCCATGAATTTCGATTTCATGAAATTTATCATTTGGACCGAATAGTTCGAAGATTTATACAAGAATATAAGATGAAAACATCCCATTTTTACTGAAAAGCCTGGAAATCTTGAACCCTTGAAATTTGTATGGTTTTATCTACCGTGTGATCAGGAAATTTGGAATTTCATTAATTTCATTTGGTCTTGAACTCTATGGCTTGAAGTTTTGAATTTTCTACCGTTAAATAAGTTAGGCTATTCATTCTATATGACGAAATCTGTACAAGGATAGAAATAAAAATGAACTGAAAAGTAAAATGAAAGTGAAATACCATATATACAATGAAAATGAAAGATGTATACATTAAAATTACATATTTACAGTATTCCCAAAAATATTCACGAGATTAATTTTTCGAAAAAATCCTTTCTAATAGGGTTTAAAAACATTATATGTCATATATCGGGTATCGGTAGGTACATGATGTACGAGTATACAGTGCAGGACTTCTATAAAAGGGAATTGATTTAGTGATTAGATTAAAGAATCTATATATGGAAAAATATTCTCTCAATTTCTTGGTATCATATAATGAAATTTTAGCAATCACAATTCAGATTTGATTGATAATTACGTATTTTTATCGTAACTATTATTTATATTTTTTTTTTAACGATCGTGTGAAAATTCATTATTTAGATCAAATTTACTATTTTTTAGTATATTAAATCCAGGCGACTTTAACTTAATATGGCTCGATCAATTTCAATTAAAAAACACAATTTTAACCGTCTAGGCTATAACGGTTAGAATTTTCTTTCTATATTTAGAAAAAAAAGTTTTATGCAAAAAAGTCGGATAAATTTTGCTATTATATTTTCCATTCTGAGCGAAAAATGACAATAATTTCATTTTTCAAGAAGAAAATTATTATGATCATATTAGAGGGCAAAGTATTAATTTATATATAATTATATAATTTATCTCGTTTTCCTGAGTATCGCAAAATTTATGTTTATATTACATTTCAATTGTGTAAGAATATGTAAGAAATATGTAAGTTGCAATTTTAATTAATTTTAATTAATTTACTGAACATAAAGATATAAATAAATAAATATATATAATAAATATATTCTATTCTATTAGGATCATTATATTGAAAATTTTAAATAAAGTAAAATTGAATTTATATATTAAATGTCATAATGTTTAATGTCTTATCGCTATAAAATACAATATTATCTGCAAAAAATTGATAACAACTTTACAAATAAAGTTGATAACAAATCCCAATAAATTTTAAAGATAGATGTATAAATACAAGTATACATACAAAGTACGAATTAAATGACTAATTCATTAAATTGCTATTAGATCAAATATAGTCAATTTTTTTTTTATCCAAGTTACGTAAATAAAAAAAAAATTATCTATAAAGAAAGTACAAAAACTTTTACGCCAGTCCATAAATAAATGACTTTGTGGTCTTTCTTTTACGCTTATTAAATATATAAATGCAATGTAATGTAAAGTATATGACAGGTTAGTTGTTACATTTTTTATTTGTTTCTGTGAATATAATAATATATATTAATCCATCGTTTAATATCTTGTTCTCTCGTTTCTAATTATTTTATTTCCCTATAAAGATTAAAGTCCAGGTGATAATATTTAATTGTTCCTCGAATTTTCCAGGGTCATCATCAAGATTTTTGAATTTAAATTTAAGGGTCTTGGTGACACTAATTAATGACTCTACTTGGCATTCAACTTTATGAAATGGAACAATTCATGGTTTCAATATTATTATACATCGCATAACCTCAATAATAGGATTGAAATTTGTATTTCTGGGATCGTTATCATTAAATGAAGTTCCTGAATAAGTTTTTTAATATAGGGGAAATCAGTCAGTGGACATGTTCGACGTGGCAACATTTACTCAGGACTACCTTATGTAATCACAAATCAAGTTTCCCTCAATATGTTTTAAGTAAACAAAATTATAAAGTTCGGAATATCAATCTATTTTTAAAAAAAAAATCATTAGTAAAAAAAATAATAATTTCCTTTTTAAAACTGGTTTGCTTCAATAACTGAATAAATATACATGAAAAGGTTACAAAGCATATAATTTAAAAAGTCAAAAAAGGTTTCTTTAAAATTAAAGTTATTTTAATAAAAAATTTTAATATGAATTCATGGGAACATGCTTACTGACTGATAACATAATCTTTTATATTATATAATTGTAAACAATGAAAAATAAATATGCATCTCAATCATCCCAATTAGTTATCATTGATTTTGGACACGCAAATTATCAAGTAATAATTTCTTATTTTTATTTATTTATTTTTTTCTTTTCTTTTCTTTTCTTTTTTTTTTTTTTTTAAAGAAAAATGACTTATAATAATGATCATAATCCCAAAAATATAGCGATATCGAACTTCAATATAAAATAATGCATATTTGATTTCGCATACAGATATTTTATAATTCTTCATATTAGTCACATAAATTAATATTAATAAATATTGAATAATTTATAAAAAACATATAAATATAAAATATAAAATATAAAATATAAAATTTATATAATAATAATAATAATAATAATAATAATAATAATAATAATAATAATAATAATAATAATAATAATATAAGAGAGAGAGAGAATTTAATGTTCCAATTAATTAATTTGACATTTTTTTTTTCAATCCAATTGTACACACAGCCACTATTACTCAATACATTCAAGACATTTAACACATTTATTACATTCATTACTTTCGATGTTTTCAATACCTTCAATACCTTCAACCTTCAATATCTTCAATTGATGTAATATCATTTCGAGTTAATTTTGAATTTATGTATATCAAGATATCGGTACATACTGTAAATTACTTTGAATAAATTATATTCATATCATTAATTCCTTTAATCCATTTTACATAATTTTTTCACAATACAAACTTATGTAAAAATATGATGCATTTTATTATAAAAATGTAAAATCATAAAATCAAGTCATAAAGAAATACTTCAAGAAATCAAAAAATAAAATAAAACAAAATTTGAATAAATGCGATTGTTCTCTTTCAAGTGATTTGTAATCAGAATTTTAATAATTTAGCTTTTTCACACCATTTATTATTATTATTATTTCCTGTTTTCTAATTAAACTTAAATTTAAAAATTTACTATTATCAAGATACTTGATTGTGCCTAAACTCTTCTAGGTGTTAAAAATCCTTTTTTTTTTTTTTTTTTTTTTACATTTTCTACTTTTCCTTATGAAGAATTTTGTTTGTCTTAAAAGATAAATTTGTATATTTTTTGATTAAGGTTTAAAAAAA